GAACGTTTACAAAAAAAAAATCGTATAAATTACTAATATTTATAAATAATATTAGTAATTTATACGATTTTTTTATAAATATACGATATCCAGTAGACGACGTGAAAATACGGCAGATCTACTATAATTACTTCTCTTGCTAATAATTCTCTTTGTGTTGTGTATGTCATTCATAATTTCTGATATTTTTAATTGGTTTATTATATAAGAAAATTTTATTTTTTGTTTTACAAATAACTATTTGAATTTAAACCTTATATATTTCGGATATTTCTATAAATATTTACTTACACGATAAACTAAAACATAAATATCAATATCAGCCAATTATTGCTGATAGATGGCGATTTGCGCCCACATTTACCTCCTTTTCATTATCTGGTATCATGGAGTATAGAGGTACTCTACACTCCATATCTGGTATAGTTCATTTCAAATAGGATGGCAGGATTCCACTTGAGACTTAGCAATTACAGCTGTAATGTTAATCTATTGTTGTGCGATTATTTTATTGCTTTAACACTTGATGTTAAGCATCTGTTGATAATACTGAACCAGTATAGCTGGAATGACGAATTTTGGCACTTGAACATTAAAACAAATTAAATTGTAGATAAAAAACCTTTATTACTTTTAACTTAACTATTTTAAATACTTATAACAACTGGTTAATATTTTGTTTAATCAATCACTCTGAAGAACATTCATCGGTATCAGTGTCCTCACACGTTTTTATTATAGAAAAAATTCCCAGCACAAACACTAGGAAAAGTGACATAATAAGTTTTTTAAGAAGTCATAACATTTCTGTGCCAGAAAAATCAACAATTAAAAGTTTGTTGGAAGTAGTCAAAAACAATTATTTTAAAAAATAAAAAATATGTGGTCGATGAATTAGCACAAGAGGCTGGTCATGAGATAATGAGACTCCCACTTTATTATTGTATATTGAACCCAATTGAGTTAATGTGGAGTCAAATAAAAAAAACTGTCCGTAAGTCAAACGTTACGCCTACGATAGGGGAAAATATAATCCAAAGTGTACGAAACGTAATAAATTCTACAAATCCCATTTTTTGGAAGAATGTTTGTGACCATGTCATAAGAGTGGAAAACGAATTTTCGAGGGATCGGATACAACCATTTATAATAAATACGTGTGAGGACACAGATACCGATGAATGTTCTTCAGAGTGATTGATTAAACAAAATATTAACAAGTTGTTATAAGTATTTAAAATAGTTAAGTTAAAAGTAATAAAGGTTTTTTATCTACAATTTAATTTGCTTTAAAGTTCAAGTACCAAAATTCGTCATTCTAGCTATACTGGTTCAGTATTATCAACAGATGCTTAACTTCAAGTGTTAAAGCAATAAAATAATCACACAACAATAGATTAACATTACAGCTGTAATTGCTAAGTCTCAAGTGGAATCCTGCCATCCTATTTGAAATGAACTATATATAATGTATTTTATATATATCTATGCTTTTCAGTTTTCATTACAATGTAATCTATGGTATTCATACTGCATATGGCGTCTTCTACGTGCAAAGTGAATGTCATTGTCTTCAATATTTTGTAAAGAAATTCTGAATACTACATAAAATTCATCAGTGTAAGTTTACAATTTTTTTTCTATTATACTTTGTTATTTTTTAAGTTGTTTTTAACTATTATTTTACACTTCAATCATCTTTTTACTGATTATGTTGATGTTGTTTACAGATAGACCTTCCCTCGCTAGTGGTTCAAAATGCCACGTCAACCACTCTACACTCCTGAAGAAGTTCATGAGGCTTTAAAAGATAAAAACTTTATGGATAATGGAAAGTATTTGGAAAGAAACCATCGCATTTGGACAGAAGCACGTGATTTGCTTCCAAAAATGACTGTTGACTATTTATGGATTTATATTTAAGTTACAAAAATTATAATAAAGAACGTAACTAAAATAATAATTAAAATTATAATATTTACGATTAAAACTAATTATATACAATATAAAAGAAGAAACTATAATATAGAAAATCTAAAACTAAAAATTTAAATCGTCAAAAAGACCTGCTCCCCGTGGTATAGTGCCAAGAACGCTGGCTGCGTTTCCTCGCTGAATAGCTATACTTAGCCTTTGAGCGAGGAAAGAACCAGCCCTCTTATCACCAGCAGCGACGACCAGTCGTGGATACAGTTTCTTTACAAATTTCATTGCACATGGATCCCACGGACCGTTTACGATTAAAACTAATTATATACAATATAAAAGAAGAAACTATAATATAGAAAATCTAAAACTAAAAATCTAAATCGTCAAAAAGACCTGCTCCCCGTGGTATAGTGCCAAGAACGCTGGCTGCGTTTCCTCGCTGAATAGCTATACTTAGCCTTTGAGCGAGGAAAGAACCAGCCCTCTTATTACCAGCAGCGACGACCAGTCGTGGATACAGTTTCTTTAGAAATTTCATTGCACATGGATCCCACGGACCGATAGTCTCTACAGCAAATGGCACAAATATGTAGTCGTTTCTCAAAGACTCATATTTGCGCCATTTACTAAATTCGGCTGCCTCTGATGCTACCCCGGCTCTAAAAGAGGTACCCTTGAGATGAGAGGCCGCCAAAGTGTCGACGCAAGTAGCATCCCACACTAGGGCTTTACCTCTCTCCCAAGGGACCAAAGTCATACCGTCGGGTCTCTTTCTATCGTCTCTAAATATCCCGCAAGGCTCTAAAACCGAGGGGATATTTATAGAGACAAGAGCCCTTCGTATGATTTCGTTCAAAGAACCGTGACGGGAAAACCTACCTGCACTTTTCTTGCATGAAAGTCCGTGAAGCCCAAACTCATCGACGCTGCTACCACAGGGGCACTGGTGAGGTTGACAAATAGCCACTCCTAGCCGGATTCCTACGGTGATGCGCAAGCTTTCCCCATCAAGCAATGTGCCGAGATTACTTGATGGTAGAGCATGTAACCAGTGGCTAGATTCCTTAGTCGAAACTGATAGAAGGCGAGCCTGATCTTGTTGAATATGGAAATTTTGAAATAAATTTTTCTAGACAGTACGTACCAACTGAATATCCCACTGTTTTTGTTGGTTAACTTCCAGTGGGACATTTTCGCCGGGACAGAGCGTTAGCCATGTTTGCTTTGCCTCCGCAGCAAAGCACAGGTCTACTTTATTATTTAAAATTGTGTTACATAGGTCATTGACACTATGCACGGAAGCAAGGAAAGCAGGCAATGCGACGCTAGAAATATTTCTTACACCAATTCTACCAAATTTGATAGGTAAAGTGGGTTGATTCCAGGCTATTGTATTTAATCCCAAATTTAGAATGTTTTCTAAAACAATTTTAAGATTACTATCAACATCTTTTAAAATATCCGAACATTTCCAGACTTGAGCGTAACAAGTATGTAAATGTAGGTACAAGGAGACAATATTTTAAAATGGTAAGGGCAATATGGGGGTTTAAAATATATAATTTATCAACGTGATGTAAAAATTGATCAAATTTTGTTTTTAAAACAGGTTTAATACTATCGAAAAACAACGGAGCACCAAGCAGGTAAAGCGATTCCGAATTGACAGTTTTTATTCCTGGAGAAATCTGATTGAAATTTTGAATTAAGGTATCTCTGTTAAAATTAGATAAATTATTAGAAATAAATATTTCACATTTATTTCTATTTGGTTCAAGACCAATATTTTTAAAATTTTGAAAAATATGAGTAAGATCATTGAGGACGTCATCTGCTTTACCTCCTAATGTACCGTCGTCCAGATACCAGACATTCAGCTTGGATTTAAATTTTAAATAATAGGTTGAATTCCCAAACTGAAAAGAGCTGGACCTAATGGATCACCCTGTTGAACACCGCCAGCAGACTCAATAATATGGTTTAGATAATGATTTCTTATATTTACGCGAACACTACACATTGAAATAATACTAGTTTTTACGGAATTTATCGCGTATATTTAACTTTTTAAATACCCGACGTTTCGAACGCTTTACAGCACTCATGGTCACGGGCGGGACTAAGATGTTCAACGTCCATATGTCATAGTTAACCGCGGTTACCATAGATTAAAATTTAACTTTTGTTCCGATCTATACAGTATAAACTTATGGTATCTTGAAGTCTTGCAGTTGTATGCTTGAGTTGGGATTTAATTTTATTTATTATCGGATCCCAAGCAGATGGTAGCACCCAGCCATCTTCTCTATTGAAATTAGGATGTTTTTTGATTTCAATAGCCTCGCAAATCATCCTTGGAAGGAATCGGTGTTCTTTAGCGAGGATTTGCGGTCTATCAAATCTGATGTAGTGACGGGGGCGATCCTGTACGTGTTCACAGACTGCAGACTTCCCGGAGCGTCGATTCTTTCAATCAATAATATGGTTTTGATAAAACAAGTTTGAATTTGGACTGTAACATTGCCAAACGAAATGATATATTTCGGGGGTATTGTTAGCCACTTCTTTCAGCAGGGTTATTCTATCAATAGAGTTAAAAGCATTTCTAAGATACGTACATTCATTTATATTACAAAAAATCGTAACGATGTCTCTTCGACAATTCACAATCTACTTAAATTAAAAGTAAAAAATAAAAAAAAAGTTTGTAATATTTCCAACTGGTCGATGAATGATAATAAACATGGTTTAGAGGAATTAAAAGGGACAATTCACTTCACTAAAACAATGGAACCAATTTGGATTAAATTTAAAATTGTATAAAGATGGTCGAGAGTATGAAGTTTTTAAACCCGGTTGGACGGACCTAGTTTATCAATCTTTATGGTAAAATTTTAAGATACCTTGTCCTTTTAAATTCCAATGTGCAAAAATTAAAAGAAATACTGAGGAACATTTTCTTACGATCAAAGGCACTTGCATCGAATGCCAAAATAATATTAATATCTATAGTGTAAATGCGCCAAACGGTGATGGTACAGACATTATTGTGTCAACATTCGATACAAAAAATGTCCAACATTATAAGAAAAGACAACTACGTGGGAACACTTGAGAAAGTGGCTAATACTTTGAAAGGGCAATCGACATATATGTATCGACGAAATGTTGCTAATCAACGCATGCATTTTCAAGACCAGGAACCTGCCGATTTGTTCAATGATTATGTATTACGAAAAGCTAAACAACAGCAAATCGACAAAGAGCTCTATTTAGAACCCAACACCAACGAAGTAGTTGCAGTTATGAGTTTAAAAAAAACCCTAAATACTGTGGAAGTATTCGAGAGATTGGAGCCGATCGATTATACGTAATGTACTGGTTACCAGAACAGGTATATTTATATAATTAATTTTTGAAAAACGATCCCTTGGGGAGTATTTGTATTGACGCTACTGGAAGTTTGATAGTCTGCATTAATGTCGGGTGGCTCTGAACCTCCCATTTTTCTCTACCAAGCTATTGCATCATACAACAACAAATCTTTGCCGTTGTTTCAATTAATTTCAGCAAAGCATGATGCCAATACTCTTTCATATTGGTTGAGGGAATGGCTCCGCTCTGGTGTAAAAGCTCCGAAACAAATAGTCTATGATTACTCACTGGCGCTTCTCAATGCATCTTCAATCGCGTTCAACCAAATGTCTTTGAATAAATATGTGGATGAATGTTTCGATCAAATAACTAGCGATCAGCCATTTATTAATAAAGAAACAATCCTAAGAGTCGATATAGCTCATTTGATCAAGTTTGTAACGAAATGGCCATGTTTGAATAAAATTAGTCATAAAGACTTTTATCGGATTTCTGGTAAAAAGCTCAACACTCGAATATTTTAAGGAAATATTAATATCAGTTGTTGACAGTGGCTTATGCCCAAAATTATGAAGAAAATGATGATAATTTATGTTTCAATTATCGTAAAAAGTTATTGAATATGATAAAAACTGGGTCAAACCCTAAAAATTTTTCTGATAAGGAGTGATTTGCTGAATTATCCGTCGTCGATCAAGAAAAAGAGGTTGAAAATCTTAAAAAAAAAGGAAAAGAAATAAAAAATCTCGACCAGTTGAAGATTTTTTAGAAACATTACAAATTAAATGTCAAATAAAAAACAGAGGTAACCTTGACAATGAATATTACAATCCTGATTTTGCCCAACGACTTATAAATTTTCCAAAAAACTTTGTTTTATGGTCTGCAGTGGTGCCGTATTTATTTTATAAGAAAAACTTTACTTTACTACAGTTAGATAAAATTACTACTGCAAGTTCAGTCATTAGTGAAGAATATTTTAAAGATGTAAGAAAGTTAATTTTTAACACTCAAAAAAACCTCAAAATTGATAAATATTTATCAATTCATTTAAATGCTTTAAACGGCATAGATTTTACTCCAATATACCAAGTTGGAATTGATGGTTTACAACAAGCTATCAATTTATATTTAAATTCACATTTGAGTACCTGCAAAAAATGTAAAAACTGTAAAAAAAATAACTTTTCAATTATTCAATGTGGAAGCCATTTATTCATTGACATCGAAGGTCTTTATTGGCGGGGGTGTGTACCGAATACAATTAAAGATTTCAACGAAAATTATGACAAAATAACGCTTGACAATATACCGCACATCTTAACAATTTTTGAAAAGAGTTTCGTCTTAGTAGCGGTAATTGAACACATAAAATTACTTGATATGGACCATTACCGAACTATTGGAAGAAGACATTCAGGTAAATGGGAAATACATGATGGTCTCAGTAACAAGTCTGTCATAAAGAAAATAACGGCAAAAGAATTGGAGAAAAATAGAAAAATACATATCCTATTTTATGTCAAAGAAAACTTTGCAGTGCAATAAAAAATATTTAAAAATTAATAAAACCCTGTTGTCACTGTTTTTAGACTGTGCCTGCTTAAAGGGAAATGCCCACCGTTCAGTCACTTCGGCCATGGGTAAAAGTTACAGCCTATATATGTCCCACTGCTGGGCACAGGCCTCCCCTCTTTTCTGAGAGGGTTTTAGGGCAAGGAAGTGTCCGCCGTGCTGCCCCAATGCGCGTTGGCGAACTTCACATGTCTTCGATTTTTTTTCTTATTCCTCAGACATGCAGGTTTCCTCATGATGTTTTTCCTTCACCGCCGAGCACGTGGTAAATCAACACTTAAAATTGCACTTAATAATTTCACTGGTGCCGGCAGGGATCGAACACAGGTTACTCACATTCTGTTATATTTACAGCGAGCGTTAACCATCTGAGCTACCACAACTCACTTCGGCCATGGGTGCCCACATATCAAAGCATATACAGTAGGACCTCGATAAGATAAAGGCTGAGGGAAACGTTAAGTTATTGAGGTTTTTACCTCAATTAAATCAAAATTAAGTTAAGGAGTTTTTATTGGTTAATGTTTGTACTTACAGAGGTTCATTTATGAGCTTTGTTTAGGAATTATAATCATAGATAGGAGAGCTAGGTTAAATGCAAATGAAACTTAATGTTAATACATAATATTTACGTACATACTTTATTGTAGTTTTAAAGACACATTTATTCAAGTTTATTTTATTCTACATAAAGTCAGTATTATTTTTTGTTTCAAGCTATTCACACTTTCTATATCAATTTTATTTTCAATATTAAATAAAGAGGTGATAATATCATTATTGTATACAGCAAAAAATACAAAATAAACTGTACTTAGACCTTAGTGTATTGTTTACATTTGAAGGCATTTGGTAAACACATGTAAGTAATACCAATGGTCTACAGGAAACCATTATTGTTTGCACATTCATTTAAAGTGACCCATTGATAGATGATTGGAGTTGCAAAGATCATCTTCATTAAAAAATTTAGTTATTAATGGATACGGATGTTAAGAACTGACTAATCTTCTTCGGCGGCTTGTAGAATGTTCTAATAGAAGGTCGCTTTAAGATGTAGCCATACCGTATGCCTGACATACGGTAGTACAGCAGACACACGCTCGACTGTGATGTAGGCGCGGGACCCGAAGCTTGATGTTGTGCATCATGAATCTGCTTGACGTGCTGAAAGTCCACGGCCAAGTGTTTGCTGTCACAGATCCCTCATGTTCTCTGTAACAAAGATTTGCCCACAGTAACTAACTGTGAAGGCTGATGGTGAGATTCACTGTTTAAATATTGGTTTGTATGGGTCTTTTTACTATACACAGTGTGACCTGTGATATTGTCAGGATTTTGGATGACTAAATCTGAATTTAGCACAGAAAGTGGTAACGATGGATAAAATTCATAGGAACAAAATCCTGATTTAATATTTCGCAGGCCATCTTCATGAGCCGCTCTAATTCATGCATGCATTCATCACTATCTCCTGTCCTTACCTACATCAAATATACAGCAAGTGCAAAACAACCCATGCTATGTTTACTTGATGTGCCTTTGATAAGCCTAGATAATAATGTACAGTACGTTCAGGCATACTGTGAATATTTTCAAAGTCCATATGATGGTGCATATTATCTTTCAATAATGTAGCAAAATCTTCAATTTGTGCTGCACTAAAGGACTATTTAAATGGTAGTTACAGATTCTACATTCTTGAGGTCCATAGTAATTGTATTCACAAAAAGACTTACCCGCAATGCTGATAGAACAGTAAGTTTATTTTAATATAAAAATTTAAACATTAATATAAAAATAACGAGTATATAAATATAAATATGAATTAAATACTAATTACACTCTATGTTAAGTCAAGAAACTGTATCAAAAATTTAATCGGAAATAAAAACGGGCTTTATTATTATTAATATTATTATATTGTGTGATGTATGATATAAGCTTTGTTGTTCTGGGTGCAATACATTACTCACTTCAGATTGCAACAAGGACGGTCTAGACTCTAGATATTCAGATGGTACCCGTTCTGCAGTTGAATGCCATGCTGCTCTATCAATCGTCAATTCATCAATATTTATTGTATTATGACACACACGAGATGATGATGGCAACTGAAATTTAATAAATACGTAAAATGAAGGCACAGTGAACAAAATAAAATAGATTTGTTTACTTTAAACTCAGATATAAATAAAATATTTATCAAGTTGAATGTTACTCTACAAAGGTGGACTTAATGCCTTATATTATTACCAGTAGTCCAAAAATAATTAAAAATCAACTGTCTCATTTCTTGGTAGTTGATAAAATTGATCAATCTCGTAACTATCTGGTGTTAGCCAGCTAATCTTATCGCCATGTTATAAATAAGCTAGTGTTTGTCAGATTTAACTTGTGCAAAATAAAACAATTTCTTGAGTTAAGATGCAATCAGAATAAAAATATGGATCACTAGCAGATATCAGCGCTACACTTAACAAATGAAAAACTGTTGAACACTTACCTCCGTGATGCAATTTGATGGGCAATGTCATTCCTTATGAGTTCTTGAGTATTTGAAAATTGAAAATAACACAATTATGACTCTTTAGTTTTGAATTCTCTAATATTTACACAGTATAGGCAATCTATGTTGTGAATTGTGATTTCATTCGCATGACCGATTTACTAGCTGTCAGATTTGATGTTGCCACTTTACTGACATAAAATCGATGAAACTATATCGATTTTTGTTCGATTAATAATTTCATAACAAAGAATAATCTTTTAGGCGCTTTAAGTTCGGCACGCTTATTAAAATATACGTTCCTTTATTTATTTAAATTCTATTATATATATTTTTAAGGACAGTTAAATTGTGCAGTAGCGGTTTGTTATACTCTTAAGAATTCATGGTAAATCAGCTAGTAATTCGCTTGTTTAATTATCATAACATCATAATATCGATTCGATTGTTATTCGATTAATAATTTAGGATTAGCAATTTTCATAAGATTTTTTGGAACTACAAACGAATAAAGGTTATTACAATCTCCTACAAACGATGATGAATGCATTGACAATCAAGATTTTTCGAAAATTTGCATATTTCATGAAAATTTTCAACTTTTTGTGACTTTCATAAGATTTTTAGGACTACAAACGAATAAAGGTTATTACAATCTCCTACAAACGATGCTAAATGCATTGACAATCAAGATTTTTTGAAAATTTGCATATTTCACGACAATTTACAACTTTTTGTGATTTTTTAAGAAGTTTTTTTTAGGACTACAAACGAATAAAAGTTATTACAATCACCTACAAACGACGCTGAATGCAATGGCGGTCAAGATTTTTTAAAAATTTGCATATTTCATAAAAAATTACAACTTTTTGTGATTTTCATAAGATTTTTTAGGACTACAAATGAATAAAGGAT